GCTGCTAAAAAAAGAAGAAGAAAATGTATATTGGAACCTACACAGTATTCCTATCTAATATCCCCTTAAAAGAGAGAGTAGCTAATCACTACAAATTCCTGTCAAGGTTTCAGGTCTTGTATCTAATTATTTAATCCATTTCAGTTGCTTCTGTGTGCATGCACAGTGTGAGGCAGTATTCTAGTTTCATTCTTTTGCATGTAGCATTCCAGAATTCCCATTTCTTGATCACACTATCTTCATTATATTGCCTATTCTTTGCTCCTTCATTAAAGATTAGACATCCATAAGTATGTGGGTTAATTTTTGTGCTTTCTACTTGATTCCATTTGTTTGTATGCTTTTGTTCCAGAAGTGTAAATTTTAATTATTGTGGCTTTGTTTGAAGTCAGGAAGTGTGATACCTCCATTCCCCTACTTTTTAGTCAGGAGAGCTTTGGATTTTCAAGTTTTTTTTGTGGCTCCAATGAAATTATTCAATATTTGCTTAAATATTGTTCAGTATTTGAAGAATATTATTGAAATTTTTATTGGAATAGCATTGAATCTGTAAATTGCTTTTGGTAGGATGGCCATTTTAATACTGTTAATTCTTTAAATCTATGAGCAGGTGATGCTTTTCAATTTATTTATATTACCAACCCATAGCCAGTATAATTCTCAATGGTGACAAGCTGAAAATCTTTTCCTTACTATCTGGAACAAGACAAGGATGTCTACTCTCACCACTGCTTTTCAAAATAATACTGGAAATCCTAGACAGAGTAATAAGACAAGAGAAAGACATACAAGGAGTCCAAATCAGGAAAGAAGAAGTAAAACTATCACTATTTGCAGATGACATGATAACACACATAGAGAACCCAAAAAATTCCACAGTAAATCTTTTCAAAACAATCAACCAATTTAGTAAAGTAACAGGATACAAAATCAACACACATAAGTCAGTGGCCTTCCTAGATGCAAACAATCAATCTGAAGAACAAGAAATCAAGAAAACCACCCCTCTTATAATTGAAACAAAATAAATCAGATACTTGTGAATAAACCTAACAAAGGTTTATTCTTCTACAAAGAAAAGTATAAAACATTCCTAAATAAATAGAATAATAAATCCTTAACTTTTTAAATGCAAGAGAAAATGTCTATTAAGAAATAAATTTATGTGCTGTTAAATGTATGAAGTTTCATTACTCCTCTAAACCAAGATTTATTTAATATGAGTGTTGACAGTAACTCTAATGAAACTTAAAAGTAGTATAATTAATGTCACATAGATTTTAGTGATTTCCTCTTCATAATAATATGAGTAATTTACATAAGATGATTTACAGCCTTCAAAGACTGAACTTTTAGACTCTATAAAATGAGAGAAATAAATGACTTTGGGAAAAAAGTGAATGGCAACACAATTATATATTAAGGACTTGGCTAAAGCCTAATTAGTCTACAGCTTATTTAGCTACAAAGAGCTAAAAAGTTAGCAATCTCTTTATTATTTTTTTTCATGGAGATAAAGAAATAACGATATTGGTTTTTGAGAGCAAATAAATATTTCCTTACCCACCACAATCCTGAATCAATTAAAAAAGAAAGAAATTATTAATATTAAATTTGAGCTTTATTACTGTGAAGGATAATTTAAAAAAATAAACTAGCTCTGCTACTAAATGGGTTTTGTTGTATTCAAATTGACTTTCCACCTTGAGATTGACATAGATGGTATTCCACATTTGCGGTGATTGTATCTTCTCCACAATGGAATCATAAATCAGTTTTATTCCGTTCTGTCATCATAGTGAAACAAGAAAAAATATTCAGAAGATTTTGAGTTGATAATGCATAATTCCTTTTCTCAAATTCACAATTTTGTTGATATAGATTTTTTAAAAATGACTATACATGCTCCTTCAATATTTTCCTTCTTGGGTTTTAGAGTGAAATTTCCTTATTGCTGTGAGAATATGAAAAGTGAAGGGAATGTACCCTGGAAATATTCCTAGCAGTGTGAATTAACGTTAATTTTTTAAAGCATATTATGTATCCTGAGAAGAAGTAGGCAATGAGGTTTATTCATTAAAGTTATAATTAATTCCAACAATATGACAAGTATTTTTTATCATTTATTATAGCATTTGCTGGATGTTCTAAAGAATACAAATATCTAGACAGTACTGTAGTATATACATTGATTTTATGATTACTAGAAACCTAGTGTATATTTAAGGATATAAGTTTCCACAAATTATAAGAGGATATAAGCTTCCATAAATTAAAATATAGGTTAATGTATATAGCACTTTCTGTTGAGTTCCAAGGAGTGGTCTAGACAGTAACCAGAGTGGTTCAGAGATGGAGAGTAATGCAGGGAATTAGATGTATTGAGATAAGCTAGATAAGAAAAGTTTTCTTGAAAAGGTAAAAGTTTGATTAGGCTTTGAAAAGATTGATGAAAGGAGGAAGATTTCTGGGACAGAAACTTAGAAACATGAGTAAAAACACAAACATAATGTATATAGCATATCTGAGTAATGGCGTGTAAATCATCCTAACTGGAATAAAATGTTGTGAGCAATAGTGAGATAGTGAACAATGAGTCTGGAGAGGGTTCTTGGGGCTGTACTTTGAAAGATCTTGTTGGCTAAGATAGGGAGTCTTGGATTTGTTCTTTGGGAAGTAGGGAACTATTGAAGTGTTTTAAACAGCAGAATGACATGGTCAGATTAGTTATTTACAAAGACTAATAATATCAGCATGGAAAATAGGTTGGATGAGGACAAATGACAGAAAATAGCAGGCTGTTAATATCAGAAATGAAGCACCTTAGGGTGATAGCAACGGGGAGACAAAATAAGAGATGTAAGATTTTTTTGTTGTTGTTGTTGTTTTTGTAGCAATTAATGGAAAGCTGTATGCCAACCTCAAAGGTCTTACCATGTACCAAGGAGAACGAGTGACATGGTACATGCTAGCCATGGGTCAAGATATTGATATACACACTGTCCATTTCCATGCAGAGAGTTTCATCTTTCAGGTAAGTTGGTAGAAGGCTGGGTCCCACAGAATGATTAGAGAATTGTTTTCATAGCTATTGAAGAATAAGGGAATAATAAGAAACAAGAGAATAACCTATAGAAAGGAGAGGTCTTGTACAAGGAGAACTGAGCTTGGAATTCTAGTCTGCCTGTATACTCCATGGTCAGTCACAGCTATTGTTTAGCTTTTCCTTTTGATATAAGAGAAATGAGTTATTAATAGGATAAGGAGTCCCAATGTAATTGTGTCTCAGTTGATGACATGAGATACAGGGAACAGTGATTTTCACATCAAGGAGTTTCAGAGTGGTGTCTCAGAATCTCTGAAAGTCCTTACCCCATTATAAGGACATTAACTTAGAAGCGACATGAAACAATATGTAGATTTTGATTTTTTTTGATTGATATAACATTAGCATAAATGTTGTTTGTATTTTGGAAGCAGAATCCATCCCCTATGGTGATATTACCATCGTTTTCCACCACCAAAACAACCATAGTTCACCACCATAGTCCACCACATTGTGCTTTCTCACCATCTTGATAAAAAAAGATTCTATCTTAGGAAAGAAGGACAGAATCAGAAGCATTGGTATAGACTTAAAGATCTAGAAGTATTTATGAAGGTAAATAATTAGTTTAGAAATAAACTAGACAGTTTATTTCTAAAAGAAATATGTTAATACTTCCTAGAGGGAAAAGATTAATCTAAATCTCACAGATTTAGGCATTCTGGAAAGTTTGTAGATATTAATTTTTATACCCTCAAATAAAGCTGAATTGTCTTTTCATTTCACATAATTTAAGAAAAACTAGGAGGAGACAGTCTCTACTCATGGATCAATTTGAGTAAGTTCATTGGGTTCATAGATAAGGTAGACTAATGAATCTTTGTGTGTTCCATATCCCTGATGTGGACTTCCAAGCCTTCTAGTTCCTACGAGCTCTGAGATGATCTGTGTACCCTTCACTTTGCTTTCTTTCTTACCCTCCATTCTCTCTTGCAGAGTGGAGAAAGGTACCGTGCAGATGTGGTAGATCTGTTCCCAGGGACTTTTGAGGTTCTTGAGATGGTGGCCAGCAATCCTGGAACATGGTTGATGCACTGTCATGTTACTGACCATGTCCATGCTGGCATGGAGACCATCTTTACTGTTTTGTCCCAAGGAGGTAAGGTCTAGCTTCCCAAGATTGGCCATTTTTCTAGAACTTTATGTAGTCTATAGGAATCAGATGATCATAAAATGTTTTGTGTACCTGTACTTCTAATACCAGAAGGAAGAGGTTCTAGTAGATTATGTCCCCAGGTTTTCTCCACTGTCTTCTTGTTCCTGCTCATTTCCTAATTATTTTTACATCTGTTGAGCTCACATGGATTTACTGAAGCTGAAAGTTGTTGGGTTGTATGCATTTATCCTTCATGCAGATTTGCTTCTTTTGAAATATACTTAATGTTGCCATAAATTTATTATTTTAGATTTCATTAAGAGTATTATTTAAAGGAATCTTGTTAATGAAGCCTTTAAAAAAAAAACAAGAAATATAATTCTAATAGTCACCCCTTAGTTGATTTGTTGTGGTAACTGTGAAAGGCAGTTCTTTTTGTCCAGGAAGGAGATCTTGAATCTTCAATTATAACATACCAAGAAAATTATTTCCAAGATATAAAAAAATTTTTTTTTATTTTTTATAGGGTTTTGGGGTAGTTTCTTTATCAACCAACACCATGCATGTAAAATACATGTATAGTTGTGTAGTTGGATCTTGTACCTTTGAGTCATTAAATGGCTATGTCTCTCAAGTATCTTAATCTTAGTATAGATGAGGGCAGCATTATACCCTTTCCAAAAGTCCCTCTAAAACCTTCTATAGCCCACAAGAATCAAGGGTTTATTCTTCTGCGTTTCAAAAATTATTTTCATACTGATTGAAAGTATTAACATTACTTCTGAAATTTCAAGTCAATGGCAATCATTCAGCAGGAACATGGAGAAATGCCTGCAGTCATTCAAACAGGCTAGATAATGCAACTCTGCTGTTTACCCCAGTGGAGGAAGAAAAATAAAAGTACAATATGAATTCTTGTATCTTTTACATATATATGTTTCATCAATATCATTCTTCCTTTTTGTGCAAGGTAAGTTTACTCCTCTCAGGTATAGTCCCTGTGAAAAATCCCCCTATCAGTTCACCCATGCACCATCACCATAATCACTTGTGATCTCCCTTCCCTCTTTTGATCTCACTCTCTCCCCATCCCCTGCAGAATGTCTCTGATTTATACTTTTGTGTTATTTTTTAATCTATTATAATTATATATTTCATGATTCCTTATTTGGTTCCCCTACATTCCTCCTATAAGTGAAATCATACCTTTTTTCTTCTGACTTATTTTACTGAGCATAATCCCTTTCAGCTCCATACACGTTGTTGTGAATGACATGAGTTTATATATTTTTTTTAAGATTTATTTATTTATTCGTTCAGAACTGGGGTACAGGCCAGAGATGTGGAGGGTGAGAGGATTCACCAGAGACAGAGTGGGGTACTGAACAAGCAGATCGACGAAGTACACTGCCGAGAGGAGCAGCGGGAGGGTCAGGAGAGGTCCTCCTCGCTATGTGGATCTCCTCCGGGGCAGGCGGGGATCGAACTCATGCAGAAGTGGCTTAAGATTCTTTGTGCTGTTCATTAATCCGCTGGACAACCAGGGAGGGCCTGACATGAGTTTATATTTTTGATTGCTGAGTAGTATTTCATTGTGTATATATACCACCACTTCCTGATCCATTAATCTATTTTTTGACGTTTGTGTTGTTTTCATATCTTACCTAATATTTCTGTGTCCTTTGGGTAGATTCCTAGGAGTAGAATTGCTGAGTCATATGGAAACTCCAATTTTAGTAGTTTGATGAACCTCCACAGTTTTCCATAGTGGTTGAATCAGTTTGCATTCCCAGCAGCAGTGTAGGAGAGTTCCATTTTCTTCATATCTTCGCCAACATTTGCTGTTTTTTTTTTTCAATATGTGCCATTCTCACTGGTTTTAGGTGGTATTTGATTGGCAGTAAGCGTTGTTATTTTACAATGTATCCTGCTAGAATGTGACTTCCAATTATTATTCTAATACCATTTCCTCATCATCCAGATAGGCATAGAAAATCTTTTATTTTATTTAATTATTACAAAAGCTTATTTTTACATCATTTTGCACATTTGTTTGTTCCATCTTGATTGTAATCCCCGCGGATTTCCCATCACCAAGTCACCCGTGTGCCACCACCATAGTCCCGTGCATTTCCCTCCCTTCCCACCACCCCCGTTTTTGATCCCATTCCCCACTCCACC